TCCTGTTCGCGCAATGCCTTAGCGAGAAGTTACCACTCAAGGAGGGAATCCCCGGTGAGGTCAAGAGGTGGAGTGAGTTTATTGGAGGAAAGCCATTGTAAAAACAAAAAGGTTGTAGTAGATATTAAGGGATGGATCTAAAAAATGGCGTGTAAGGGGTTATTTTATGGCTGGCTGGTTGGCTGGATAGATAGGGTTCTTTTTTTTTTTTTCTGTGGATTTTTCTCTTTTCCTTATTCTTCTTCTTCATGTAGTTTCTTTATGCGATATGGATACTCTCAGGAATGTTACGTGCGTGTGTGTCTGGGGGGCGGGGATGTGGTGTGTGTTTTTCGTTTGTTCGTGAGGGTTTTGTCTTGAAGGAAGGAAGGAAGGAAAGGTTTATGGTCGGATCATGATGGAAGACGACGACGGGCTTGTATAGTGCAGAATTAAAAAAACTTTGCAGAGCAAAAGCTGTGTTCAGGGAATGCTTTCGTCTCCTAAATGCGGGGGTGCGTCATGACTTCTCACCGGTGGGGATTCTTTCGATGATGTTACTGTACTGTAAATAGACATCTGTGTGAGTGCGAGAGCAGCCCTACCCTAATACGTAGGGACTGCTTCTGGAGCTGGTCCAAGCTTCTGCGCTCGGACTCATACATATACGGATTCTTCTCCTTTTCTCTTCTTCTCTTATAGATAATCAAGTCATCTTCTCTACTCCATTTAAAGTAACAATGAACTGCGCTACTTTGTCATGGTAATGGGTTCGGAGGCCATGTAAGACTTAGCTGGTGTCTTCAAAAGTATATACATATGTACTAACACCTTCGCCTCCCCGCCATAGATTCTCCCTTCACAGTCCTTCCTCACTGGTATATAATAGGGATACTGTCATACACAGACCAGATACAGGGTCCGTCAGATATGAAGCTTTGCTAGCAAAATAAAGGATATGGTGTTATGTTGGTGGGTTTCAGCTCTAGAAGGGCTCTGTTTTCATGAAAGAGTGTTCGAGATTCAATAAGCCCATTCTAACTCTGATGATGGTGAAGTGCTATCCTCTACATACTCGGTCTGTGTAGATTGGTTGCAGAACTCAGATGGCGGATGAGAGTATCGCTGATTGATTCGGACGCCGATCTGTGGCAAACCAGTGCGCTTTTCCATTGGTCATTTCAGCCGATCGACAAGTCCAATTGCCAGAGTTGAGTTCTGCAAACCAATCTACAAAAACCGAGCATGTAGGGGATATCAAGTCTTCTAGTCTTAACTTGTCAAGGTAGTCGCCGGTCGACCGTATAGGAATGTCAGATCCCTATGGCAACATAAAACCTGCAGTCAACATGGTTATCGGAGGCGGAGAACAAACCTCCCCTTTACCACTATTCCTCTCCACCATGGCGAAAAACAGCGAATTCGTCGTCTGTTGTCAGACATGTGAACGGCACTTCCGAAGCGAAGAGGAAGCCGTTCAATACCATCATCTCTCAAAGTCACACATCTTCTCTCGGTCAAACTCAACCGGGTCAGCAGCTGCCGGAAAACTTCGGCTTCTATGCACAGCCTGCGTGGAGTACCTCTGTGACGGCGAAGATCTACCAACCCACAATCGTTCCCTCGCGCATATCAATGGCTGCATGGCTCGAGGTCTTTACTGCCTTCCATGCAAAGCATGGTTCGTGAACGACGAAAGTATACAACGCCACAACCACTCCTTCCACGACGCGAACAAACCAAAAGAATTCCGATGCTGCGACTGTCACCGCAGCTTCTCGTCGGAAAATACCCTCGAAACACATCTTCGATTGTGTGATGCTAGGGAGAAGAAGCAACAGAGGTTCAGTTGTGAGCCGTGCGGGTTGGCATTCTCCAGAAAGAAGGATTTGAACGCACACTTGCTCTCAAAGAATCATAAGCCGGTGAAGTGTCTGGGAAGCGCTAAGTGTAAAAGGATGTTTAAGGACTTACCGGGGATGATACAGCACCTTGAGAGTGGTGCTTGCGTTTCGAAATTGAACCGCAATGCCATCCATCGACTGTCGAGAATGTATGATACCACCAATACCATCACTATTGAGGGCGCTCCCCCTCCGTCTTTGCCTATCCCGGTCCAACCAGTGGAAGAGCTGGATGCAGACTCCGTTTACGACTCCGCTGCCGGCAATTCTATCCCGACACCCACTTCGATGCCGTCGCCGAGTAGCGGCACTTCTTCGGGTGAAGTCACACCCACATCCGGTGGCGGTTTCAGCGAACTCGAGTGCCAACTATCCAATCCAACGATGTGTCTAGTCTGTGGGCGACAATTCTCATCTACACTGGCTTTAAGGATGCATGTTTCGTCCCCGGTCCACGCAACGCCAATATACCACTGCCCAACTGCCTTCTTGGTAGATTTGGGAGCGGTCTTGGGAAAGAAGAGGCGGGACGAGAGGGTTTTTAGAACACTGGGTGCGATGGCCCAGCATATTCATGCTGGGGCGTGTACCGGCGGGAAAGAATCTTGGGAGAAGGTGATGAAGATTTTGGAGGCGAAGTTGGGTGGGTTTGGGGTTGCTGTGAGATTGTTGGGCCTGTGATTGCGGAATATGTATCCTGAATTAATGTAGAATGATACCTACGGTACCGGAGCATTTGCGCTTCTTAGGGTTTGGGGTATGAGGTATGGGCACTTGACTTCGACGACCAAATGTTGCGGGACACAGCAACATCCAACATGCACAGCAATTCAGTTTCCCTTGGAAAAGGATTCGTAGTCTCTTCCTATTTTTGAAAAGGGTATCCTCGAGGTGAAACAGAAGTTGTGATAAAACAAAATATGGTGTTTCTGTGTCAGTCCAACGGTTTGTTGTAATATTACTCGCTATCAAACTCATCACATCTCTGGAATGACTCCGGACAGTCACCCCCCCCCCTTTCCCTTTTCAGTACCGCCTAAGTGAATGTAATTCCAATGCCTAAGGCTCTGGGATCTTCGCTTAGTGGTGCTTATATCCAGTAGATGTAGCAGTGGTGCCAGGCGAGTGCTCGAGCACACCATTAGTCTACAGATCAAGTTCTGGTGAGTGGCTGTCCAAAATCATGCCATCACATAGGTATCCGTAACGCAAAAAGTACAATCCATACTTTTACCAAGGAAAGCTAAAGCTACAATGACGCCACGCCATATGAAAAACAAATCCAGCACCATCCCATCCCATCCCATCCCTCATCATCTACTTGCTTCTCCTCCCAAAAAAAAGAGCCCCATCACATAACAAACAAACTGCATTTAGAAATCTAGCTTGCCTCAACCCCCTCAATCCCATCCAGCCGATTCCCCAGGAACCCCCATAGAAACAAAACACGCAGTGATATCAACCGCCCTCCCCCTTCCCGCCTACACACTCTTACCCCTGATGCAGCTTCTTCATCCTCGTGACGCCCTCATACACGGACCTATCCACGACCGTAGCGACCGTAAGCGTACCTCCAATGATGGCGCAAATACCCGTTAGTAGACCCAAAAACGTTCTCTCCCTAACCTCACGATTCACCACTTTCATTGGCGAGATATCATAACTAAAGAACACTCCTGGAATACCACCCCTCGCATGTAGCGTATTCGGGTGCTCCTTATCGTTTCCACCCTTCAAGCTCCTCTCATGGCTTGTCACCGAGTACTGGTGTGTTTCGATCGCGCCGGGAGAACCGGGCTTCACCCCGAGCGGGAGGAACGACGTGCTCACCACCTTGATGAAGTACATATAATTGTACGATCGCTCTGTCGTGGTATGCGTGGCACCATCCAGCGGGTTTGATTCGACCTTTCCGACGGGGAGTTCGGGGCCGAAGCTGAGGTGGTGGATGGTATGTGATAGTGTATGTTGCTTGGGGGAATCAAAGAACTGCTGTAAATCGTGCACATGCATCTGCGGGGTTGAAAAGCTCTTTCCAGGGGCGATATGGAAATTACCAATGACCTTGTTTACGCTGAGGTGTCCGGCGATGTTGCACCCTTCCTCTGCCATGGCCTTGATATGTTCACCGTAATGTTCATTCTCGCACTGCTTCACACCTTCACCAAGTCCAAATGCCCACCCGGCTTTTTCGTAGGCCTCCCGCACCTCGGCACATGTGTTGCAACACTTCTTCCCCGCAGGAGGTGAAGCGCCATAGCATTCACCGCAGTAGTTCGGGTCCAGGTGCTTCGGCTCCTCAACGGGGTGCAAATCCAGCGCTTGAGATTCGAGCGGCTTTGATTCCGGGAATGCACTGAGACGCGTGATGTGGACTCCATGAGTGATGCCGGATTGCTGCTCGCCCGATACGTCCATCACGTCGAGCGTGAGAAGGTTGCAGGGGATATGCGGAAACGTGATGTTGAGGTTTATTGGGAGTTGCTATCACACGTACGCACGCACGCACTCGGCATTAGCTTTTTTTGTTTGCCACCTTCCCGCATGCGCATGGTTTGAAGATATTCATTGTCATTTACCTCGCCCCGACTCTTATCCACAATCAATTCCGCTTGCACCTCAATGCGTCTATAATCGCGGATCTCTCCCACCACTAGGAGCAACACTATAATCACCGAAACCAAGGTGACAATTCCTCCGCTCGTTGTCCGGATTCGTGCATCTTCCACTGTCTTCGAGAATGCGTCTAGGCGGGTGAGGCGGGACGAGCGCGCCATAGCGAGCGAGCTTGCAAGAGATTGTGGGCTGGAGCCGGATCGGATTGATGCAGTTGTGCGTTGGTCGGGGTTTGTGGAAAAGAAAATGGAATCGAAGTGTAAAGAGCGTAGCGGTGCTGTCGGGTTTGTCGTCGTAATACTTGAGCTCGAAGATGCCAGATTGCAGCGCGCCTAACCGCCCAGCCTAAATAACTACAATGCGGTTTAACCGTACCGGGGTATCTCCACGTGTTTCAGCCCTTCGAATGATGGACTGTGTACACAACCATCGTGATAGTGAATTTCATTCTACTCTAAATCACAACATCACCAACTTGCAAAATCTCTGGAAGCAAAAGAATGATCACTGCAGGGGTCGAACCTGCGACCTTGGCGTGCCATATCGTATATTAGCACCACGCTCTAACCAACTGAGCTAAGCGACCGTTTCATGTCTGTTTGGAGCTGCTACCAAACACAATGCTAGTATCAAAATGGTGTTAATAAAGTCTATCATCTAACTGATCCATTTAGCATTGCGTATCTAACTACCCGGGCCAACAACCCGTATCCTACTCTTGAACTCCTCCCTCATCTTTTCCCTCTTCTTCTTAGCGCTTCCCATATGTCTCCACAACCCCCTCCCTCTTTCCACCCGGGAATCCTCACTCCCAGCCTCGCCTCTACCCCCACTACCATCATCAACACTCGCAGACCGCATAATAGCCTCTCCCTCCGCATAATATCCCATTCCACCAACACCAGGCCACGAAAACGTGGTGGCTCTGCGCACTGGCTCCAAACCGCCACGAGTCTTGCCCTTGGCTTTATTATTATTCGCAACTATCTTCTTCTTCATCTTCTCCACAACCCCGCCAAAGACGCTGCTGCCGCGCATTGGAGAGACGGAGCGTGAGGACATTGGAGAGTATTCACTCCATTTTGAGCTTTCTGCTTTGTCCAATGGTGGTGGAATTCCCATTGCGAAGGGTTCCGAAAGGCACTCTAATTCTTTTCGGCAGTGGAGAGCGATTAAAGGTGTATCTCGAGGTGAATACCAGAGTTTTGGAACTTCGACTGTGGTGGAAGAGGGGGAGATGATGAGGTCTCTTGGTTTGGTGGAGAATACTGTGTCCTTCGGAGGCAGTACGGAGGGGAGCGCAAGATCTGACAGCGAGAATATGGAGGAGCCAGTGCTCGAGGAAGGCCTGCTTTCAGCTGTGGGGGTTGGCGGGAGTGGCTTTAGGGGTGGAGAAGGACCTGGGTAGACAGTTGGCTGGAGGAGCTCAATGGAGTCCGAGGAGATGCAGACCGATACTTCATCTCCTTCTAGCTGCTGAGTAACTGGCTCTGCAGCATTGCTGTCTCGAGTGGTGGAGCATATAGGCGTTGTAAATGGGTCGCTGGAGGTAGGGCTGGTGTTGCTGTCTTGATAACAAAGTTCTATTGAGCCCAGGGTATCATCGTCCACCGTTGGGTTAGACTTCTTGCAATCATATGGCCCCTCTGTAGCTGTCCTCGACCGAACCTCATCCTGCCCAAGAACTTTCCGCTGTCTCGGTGAAAGCGGATATTCCATTCCAATCCCGAGTATACTCCGGATCTTTACGCTAGGATTGTGATTAAGCGGGTGGGGATCAAACCTACGGCGTTGAGAGCCTATGGGTGAGTGGGTGGCCTGCGCACTTAACGGTGGCGAGGATTCAAATGCTTTTGGGCAACTGAGGGTGGGAAACTAATTTGCATCAGTAGTAGCTAGGCCTGTAATCGGGAGATTGAGTACTATGCGGGCTGGGGGAACGAAGAACTCTTGTAGTTGCTGGGGGAGGCTCGACGTCCCCGAAAATTCGGCCCTTGGTTTGGATGCCTGATGTTCTTTAGTTTTGCTAGACAATGTTCGTTCATGAAACTGGCTCACGGCTCGGGCTTCCTTCGGCAGTCGGCCGGAAGCTAATGTGTCGCTGCCACGCCGGGAAAGAGAGCGGCGCCATGAACCATCATCGCCGCTCAGCTCGGTTGTCTCTCTTGGGCTCGGCCTCGCTGAAGGCGAAACTTTATGTTTATGCGATGGGAACTGGTTTCGTCTGGATTGAGCTCTCTTCAGCTCCAGAGGTACCGGGCTTTGCACTCTCTTTGAATCCATTGGAAGTCGTCAAGCATGTAGATCCAAATAACTTGAAATTATTGCAATTGCAGAAGCGGGTGGGTACGTCGCAAAAGCTGCAGCCCAACGTTGATATAAAGGTCATTGCAACGCAAAAGCGCGCCGATTAGGTATTATTATTATTGAACTGGTTGAAAGCCTTACTATCTAGAATAAAGGAGTGAGTGTTGCCAACAATGGGAGGAATTTCTGTGATGACGTGCAATTGGGTGTTAAGTCGATGTCCATGCATACGCAAACAAAGAACTCAAAAAGTTGAAAGAATCATAAAACAAAACAGGTCTGTCTTAGTGTACGGGTGCATCTCAAACATTTGGTGTGTAATAACTTCCGCGATGGTGGTGAAAGTCGAAGGGCTGTCCGTAGGCATAGGAACGCAGCGTCAACAGATTCTGTTCGATCAGCCGAATGCAGACATGCATGTCTTAGGGGTGCTGAGAACGAGACTACCGGTATTAGCTGTGTAGTACGTGATAGACACGAGTGGTGAACCTGGGGATACAAGTGTAAGTCCGGAGTGTGTGGTGCAGTGTGAGGTGGGAATAAAGTAATTTGTGTAGGTCGCACTTCGATATGTCTCGCCACAACAGACTCAAAACTCCATGCAAAACGACGGCCAAAAGTCAGAGGGAGTGCGAATCGAGCAGCTGAAGGTTTTCATTAAGGTGGAATGAACTGTATTTCGGTTATGTGAAACAGACGATGTCGAACATCGGGTGACTGGATGTGAATCTACGCTGGTGTTGATTGGGAGAGCTCTTTGAAACACACTAATTTGATTAGCCTTCCACTTCCCCACTCCCTCTGACTGCACAGATAAAAAAAGAACAAATGATAGAGTCGGAATAAGGATGGAGTGTGTGAATCTCGCAGCAAAAATCATTTAAATGACAATTGATACATGCAATCGTTGAATGGTGCAGATCCGAGACAGAGAGCAGCTGCGGAAACCCAGCAAACAACAGCACGCGAACACAACCCTGCATCCAAGAACCATCTCAACCAACCTCCCCTCTCCTGAAGTTCCGCAGTGCTCCTCACAGACCCCCCTTCACGATACGACACACCGCTGGAAACATACAACCGTGAGAGCTCTTGAAGGCGCTTACTTAGCTACGCCGCCCGTCCACATAGTACTTAAGTCCTTATTCCTCAATTTTATTGTCTTGTCAGGGCATGCCGGGAGAGCCGCATAAAGACATGCAGCCGGAAGCGGAGGAAGAAATCACCATGAGCTTTGAACCTCCCGACGATCCAAATCCGAAGCCTCGGGCAAGAGAGCCACAATTACCTCCGCCGCCTCCGGTTGTAGATGAAGTGGAATATGATGATTTCGGCCTCCCCGTCAGAAAGCTTCCGCGGGCACCAGTGTACGATGACGCATCCTCGGACGATGAACAACCGCCAGCTACTATCATTGAAGAGCCAAAAGAACCCGCCGCGATGGAGAAAAAGGATAGTCCCATAGCTGCTGCGGAACCGAGTCCCCGAGCTCAGCTACCTACTTTCACAGTCCCGATACCACCGGCCGAGAAAGTCACGGAAACGAAGTCAGAGAACAGCCATGATACCGACCTTAAAAATAACCACGCATCACTGTTATCGCTCCCAGAGAAAGACCGCAAGAATAACGAAGTAAAAATGTTTTCGGAGGACCCCAAGGATCCACACATGTCAACAGGAAAGCATACAGTATCGGAATGGTCACATCAGCAGATTATACCACGTGCAAACCAGGAGGATGAGGTTAGTGAACGGAAAATGGAGGAAGAGGATGAATGGCAGACCATGCCGGCGTATGCTTCCTATGACATGTATGACGATGACGGCCACCTCATAGCCCGGGCCCACGAAGAATCAGGGGACGAGGAGGACACCGGAGCAGCGAAGGGCTATACCAGGGTGTATGATGACGAGGACGCAGAGTCAGTCACTAGCATGGACGAGAACACGAAATATTTATTCAAAGATAATGAGAACGACGAGGCGTCAAGAAATCCATTGTCACAGATGCAGGCGACGAAAGAACTATTGACGGAGGGGCAGAGAATTGCCTATGTCGGAGTGTGTAGGCTAGCACTTATTGAGATGCTTCAAGATATGCAAAGGTTGAAAGCCAAAGGAAGGAATGCAAAGAGGAATCTACAAGTTGCAACAGAGGGCATGAGGATGTGGAGTCAGAAGATGATGGTGCGGTTGTACACACATATGGAATTATCACCACCTGGTATGCTTTTTGGTCCGCAGCTCCCGGGGTATAGCTATTGACTTTGCCGAAGAGCAAATAATGATAGAGCAATTGGCCTTGCATGGTGTCCTGCCTTCGGATTTGACACCAGCCCTGATGCAGAACTCCCGAGTCCACAACCCCATGGCACCTTCTCCCACCGCATTATCCTCTCCCCGACAGTCCATATACTCCAACTCTAGCTCCCCGACACGAGGATCTCACGCCTCAATATCAAGTGCACTCCAAGACTACCAAGACACCGATCTCGAAGACACCAAAACACTCTCACAACTCCCACAAACCAAGACAATCGATATTGACCTGCGGTGGACGATACTTTGTGATCTATTCCTCGTCTTAATCGCAGATTCTGTATATGATGCCCGTGCCCGTGTTCTTCTAGAGCGCGTTGGAAGGATGTTTGACGTTTCCTGGCTTGACATCTGCAAGTTCGAGAAACGTGTGACGGACGCACTAGAGATGCAGGAGTCGGCGGAGCAGACCTGGACCGAACAAGATCATCTAGATTCCAGAGCAAAGCAGGCAAGGAATAAGCGATTCATGATGTTAGGACTTGCAACGGTGGGTGGAGGACTGGTTATTGGTCTTAGTGGAGGACTGTTGGCGCCGGTCATCGGCGCTGGTTTGGCCGCAGGGTTTACAACTATTGGTGTAGCCGGGACAAGTGGGTTTTTGGCCAGCACTGGAGCGACAGCATTGATTGCTAGTGGTGCGGCGATCAGTGGAAGTGTTATCGGAGGGAAGGCGGGATTTAATCGAATGAAGAGCGTCAAAACTTTTGAGTTTAAGCCACTGCATAATGCGAAGAGGGTCAACTTGATTATTACGGTTTCTGGGTGAGTGGACATTCGTGTGAGGAACTCGCACAGAGCTGACGGATGTTGTAGATGGATGAACGGAAAGATCGACGATGTGAGATTGCCATTTTCAACCGTGGATCCAATTATGGGGGATTTATTCTCCATCTACTGGGAACCCGAGATGCTGCAAAGCATGGGTCAGACTATTGGCATTCTAGCTACAGAGGTATT